TATATGTATATGTATGTAGGTATGTACATACATACATACATATACATATACATACATACATACATACATACATACATACATCCATACATCCATACATCCATACATCCATACATCCATACATCCATACATGCATACATACATTTATCCGTGCATGCATGCATGCATGCATGCATGCATGCATGCATACATAAATACATATGAATATATATATATATATATATAATGTGATATACATGTGTATATATATATATAATCATGCAGTTGTTCCGATTGCGAGCCCGGGCGCGCATTCCGTGAGGCCGGCCTAAGTGGTAGGTCCCAGGGCTTCAACTGCGATTTTAGGGTTTAGTGTTCAAGGTGTAGGACTTGAAAGGGTTTCATGAGTTTTCTTTGGATTCTGAGGTTTACTGGGTGTTGGAGGCTTTACAAGGGGTTATAAAAGCTTTCTAATCGCATATCTATTGTTTATGCAGGGACAGAAGGGGGTACTACTCATAATCATTCAGACCTCGGTCGTCCTCCTTGCTAATGGCTAAGGTTTTGAAGCCTAAACCCAAACACCTGAACCCTGAACCCTAAGCCCTAAACTTAAACCCTAAACCCTAAACCTTAACCCCCAAACCCTAGACCCTAAACCTCCGGGCTTCAAGGTTCTAGGCTCCGAAGCCCTGAAGCCCTGCCTGAGAAGCAAACTGAAAGCCCAAACACCCTCGAGGGTTTAGGGTTTTGGGCTTTGGTTTAGGGTTTAGGGGTTTAGGGTTTAGGGTTTAGGGTTTTGTTAGGGTTTAGGGTTTAGGGGTTTAGGGGTTGGGGTTTAGGGTTTTGGGTTTTGGTTTAGGGTTCAGGGGTTTGGGGTTTAGGGTTTAGGAGGATTAAGATGAAATATGGGGCCTTTAGTAATTTAGAATAAGGTTTTTCGGGGTCCCAGCATACTATAAATGTAAATACAGTAATGAAACTCCCCAAAATATGTAATTATTTAGGCCCCTATATTAGGGCTTTAGGGTTCCTACGTTAAGAGTACCGTACTGCTACAAGGGAACGCTGGCGTCGCCGGCAAACTCAATCCAAAAGGGTAGTTCTCTAAATTCGAATCCCTGCACGTATTTTTAAATCCTCAAAATAGTACGGCACCCTAACTGAAAGGGCCCTCAAGGGGACCCCAACTGATCGAGCTACTCATATCGTGGCATGCAGGACTTTGTGTTTAGATGTGTTTAGGGTTTCGAATTTCGGATTAAGGTTTAGGGTTTGTCCGGTTCTGGGCTTCTGGAGCGCACAGCACCTGTAGGAAGAGCTTACGGCGCAAGTCTAACTAAACCCTAAACCCTAAGCCCTAGACCCTAAACCCTAAACCCTTCAGGGACCTAGAGAGGCATGGGCAACAAAAAGTCCACGGCTTTGAGGCCCAAAAAAACCCTGAAGCCTAAACCTAAGCTGAAACGGCTTAGGGTTTAGGTTTTTTTGGTTTAGGGCCACTTTACAAGCCTGAACTCCAAGTTCTTTGATGTAGATTGCAAGGTGCGCACCCCCAAACTCCCTACACCTCAGTGGCCCCATCTCGCTTCAGAAACTACGCGCCGAACCTACTCGTGCCGAGAGCTATTCAGGGTTTAGGGCTTGGGTTTCAAAGTTCAAGGATCCCTCAACCCTAAACCCCAAACCCTGAACCCTGAGGTTTCTGGGTGGTTTAGGGCTTTAGGGGTCTAAGTACGTAGAATAGGGTCTAGGGTTAGGGTTAAGGGTGTAGAGCTAATTTGAGTACAAGCACAAAGGGACGGTAAGGGGATACTGTTTGCTACTGCAAGTATTGGGGCTCAACCCTAACACTAAACCCCTCCCCTAAACCGTAAACCCTGAACCCTAAACCCTAAACCCTAAACCCTAAATCCTAAACCCCAAAGCCTATGTCAACCCAAAGCCTTTAACCCTCAACCCGGATCAACCCAACCTTAAGCCCCTCAAGTTGCAGGTTTCGGGGTTTAGGGCTTAGGGCCTGAAGCCTACACTTTAAACCCTAAACCCCTAAACCCCTAGAACTGCTGAACCCCTAAACCCCCAAGACGCCTAAGCCCTAAACCCTAAACCCCCAAACCCCCTAAACCCCTAAACCCCTAAAACGCCTAAACCCTAAACCCCTAAACCGCCTAAACCGCCTAAACCCTAAACCCCTAAACCCCTAAACCGCCTAAACCCTAAACCCCTAAACCCCCAAGACGCCTAAAACCCTAAACCCTAAACCCCTAAACCGCCGAAACCGCCTAAACCGCCTAAACCGCCTAAACCCCTAAACCCCTGAACCCCTAAACCCTAAACCCTAAACCCCAAACCCCAAACCCTAAACCCCTAAACCGCCTAAGTCCTAAGCCAAGCGACCCTGCGTCTCCCGGAGAGCTGCACGGAGTGCAGAAGAGGGCCATGGGCGGCCACGCAGCCGAAGGGGTTTAGGGTTTAGGGGTTGAGGGTTTAGGGGTTGAGGGTTTAGGGTTTAGGGTTGAGGGGTTGAGGGTTTGGGGTTTAGGGGTTGAGGGTTTAGGGTTTAGGGTCTTGGGAATAGGGGTCTATTTAAGGTTCCTTTAAGGGTTACTTTAGGGGTTTAGGGGTATTAGTATTAGCTTCCTTCAAGGGATACTTTATGGGGTTCGTTTCAAGGCTCCTTTGAGGGTTACTTTGTGTTTCTAGAGTTCCTTTAAGGGTTCCTTTCGGTATGAAGGTGCTAAGGTTTGGTGTAAAGTAGTAGTCATTCTATGCTTGGCTCAAGGTTTAGGTCTGGCTTCGATTTAGGGTTTCCGGTTGAGGATCGAGTTGAAGGTGCTTTCGGGGGTTTAGGGTGTAGGGTTTAGGGTTTGGGGTTTAGGGTTTTGGGGGTTAAGAACGGGGTGTGCAGCGACCACGGCTCAATCTGACTTAGGGCTGTAGGCATCTCGGGTTTGGGGTTTGGGTCTGGGCTTCTTGTATCCTGAACAGGCATCTGCTGCTTTTCTCCTGGAAACACTTCGGCACTTGGCAATTCCATCGTTGCTATAGACTCTAAACCACCGCATAGAAGCTGAACCCTAAACCCTAAACCCTAAATCCTAAACCCTAACCCCTAAATCCTAAACCCTAAACCCTAAATCCTAAACCCTAAATCCTAAACCCCTGTACCCTCGTTCTTCTATAGCCATGGCTAGAGCCAGTCATGCTGACACCAGAGGTGCTCCCGAAGGAACCCATCAAAGGCTCCGTTTGAGTGTATAGTAGACTCCAAAAAGTTGGAAACCGGATTAAGGACAAATAGTGCTGGGATGTCTTAAACATTACTCTGAAGGATTGAGGCTATTGGGTTTCCAACTTTTAGGCTTCTACTATAGCTTCTCTTTGCGTGTTATAGGGTTTAGGGAAACGGTTCTGGGTAGGGCAGTCCCCACGGCGAGGTGGATTCAGAAATCAGATCCCTACCAAAACCCCCAACCTTAAATTTCTAAACTTCAAGCTCTTCAATGCTCAGCCTTGAAAGACACCCGCCCGAATATGTGTTCCCGGGAATTTGTAAGGTCTCAATAAATCAAATAACTTGACATGGGCTGCCGGCAGACAAGGTCCCCTAAACCCTAAACCCTAAACCCTAAGCCCTAAACCCTAAGCCCTAAACCCTAAACCCTAAACCCTAAACCCTAAACCCTAAACCCTAAACCCTAAACTACAATTCGCAACTGCCTCTTTGGGCTGACGGGCCTCTACAGGGACGACGGCGCGCACGCGCATCTCGAGTGTAACAGACCCTACGTAGATATCCGTCATATGGGAGTTTCAGAAAATTAGGGTACCTTATTTGGGGTCCTTATAATAGGGACCCTATTAATTAGGGTACTATATTAGGGTCCCCTATTTTCGGAAACCCCCATATTGGCCCAAGTGCTCACTAACAACGAGTTCGCAGTCAATATGCAAAAAAAATGATAGCTTGGAGCACAACTGTATAGGGACTAGAATCAAGCGGATGACTGTACTAATTAGCCAAACCTCTAGAACTCGCCAGATACAGTCGCCAAAGTCTACCGGCGAAATCTTCATTAAGCCCGGGAGGGGTTTAGAGTTTGGGGCTTAGGGTTCGGATTTGGTTAGGGCAGCGGGGAGGGGATTGGCAAAGCTTGGGGGGAAGGTTGGTGCTCATCATCTTCGACGTCACTCGGTGGCTCTATCTAGGCTTTGTATTCATCTCTGTGTGGTTTGACGCTTGATACCCCACCCCCCCACTGATTGAAGGTTCTAGCTGAGCTTGAAACGCAACTAGGGGTGCCGCTGAGTCTGTTGGAACATGGCCCCAAAACCCGCACCATATATGCTTTAAGCCGGAAAGGGTTCAAACCGCAGGGCAGGGACTTCGCGGCTTTAAGGAGGTTCTGCCTCGGGAGCTTGTTGATTACGAACCGAGCATGGGAAGTTAGCTTCAGTGCTGTAAGGCTTCGGAACCAACAGCAGGCATGAGCGAGACCATAAGAAACTAGGTTTAGAGCTTAGGGTTTAGATTGTCGAGTTTACGGCTGAGGATTCAATAGTTTATGATTATGGTCGTTGGCCCCTGTACGGGAGTGTCCGGAAATTCGGGGTACCTTATTTTGGGGTCCTTATAATAAGGATCCTACTGTATAGGGTGCTATATCAGGGTCCCTTCTTTTCGGAAACCCCCATATACCCTAAACCCTAAACCCTAAACCCTAAACCCTAAACCCTAAACCCTAAACCCTAAACCCTAAACCCTAAACCCTAAACCCTAAACCCTCACCCCTAAACCCCATATAGAAAACTACCGGCCTGGCGCTCCGCAGCGTTTTCTTCTGCAGTGGGTGGGGATGCGGCCTCAGCCAAGCCATTCTTCGACACAACACGGTTTAGGGTTTAGGGTTTAGGGTTTAGGGTTTAGGGTTTAGGGTTTAGGCAACCCCCAGGGTCCCGCGAAGCGATAGTTGGGAACATGGAAGCCTGGCAAGATACCAATATGGGTTCTTAGGGTTCAAACTTATCAAACCCCGAATCCCAATTCATGATCTTTATCCAAATTCCCTGCGACATGTACAATTAACTACTAGTATAGCCGGTCAGGGTCTGCGAGGGGTTGCATCTTGGCTAACCCTAAACCCTAAACCCTAAACCCTAAACCCTAAACCCTAAACCCTAAACCCTGTCGCCTTGCAGTCTAACAGCCCACAATTCCATACTGCAAACCTGAAATCCAAAATCGGTTTAGGGTTTAGGGTTTAGGGTTTAGGGTTTAGGGTTTAGGGTACATGTACCTGTATGGTCACTAACTTAGCTTAAGCTTGAAACGGGTTGATAAAGAGTAACTTTAGCGTTTATAGCGCTTATGCGAACCTGAACCGACTGTGAATTTTGAGCCCTCCAGACTATCCAAAACAGCAGCCCTTAACTCCCGACAAAGTTTGGGTTTATAGGTTTAAGAGTCTAGGGCTACGGCGTTAGCGTTGAGGGGTGGGGTGAAGAGATCAAGGCTTATAGGCTCCGATCTGGGACAGCGGCAGCACGGAAAGTCCCCGATCGTCCTCCCGGCAACATGCGTGTGTGGCATGAATCCGACTACGGTATATAGGGCGTTCCTTTAAAAGTTCAGGGGTCTAGGGTTTAGGGTTTTGCATAGTTGATGCATGTTCATGCACACCTCATAACTGGAGCTCCGGCTGCAGACTTTACCTAAACGAACCCGGTGTCGCGATGCTGGGCTCCTTCGGCAGAGCGCCCTTCAGAGAGGGAAGCGCTGCTGCCTGGGTTGATTAGGGTTTAGGGCTTAGAGCTTCAGGTTTTGAGTGTAGAGATTGTGAGTCTACATAGCAGGCAGTGCTTTAAGGATTTCTACGGTCTTAGGGCTTTTACAGCGTTTAGATTAGGGGTTTTCAAGCCCTAAGGGATTTCATGGTTTCGGGGTTGAGGACAATCAGAATGTCAGGGGGTTGGCCAGGGCTTTAGGCTTTTGGTGATTACGGTCCAGGGATTTGGGTTGAGCGCAGCTTGCGAACTGCCAGTTGATTCTGTGTGATTTGCTATGGCGTGCCTGGGATTCTATGGGATGCTTGTTGAGGTTTGTGGCTCTGTATAGTTGGCTCTCACTGAACACCGTAATTGAAATGGAAACATACTCGGCAAGATTGCGAACTCCACAAATTTCTGATATCACCGAGTATCCTCCGTCGGGTAGCTGCTTTGGGCTGAAACGCTTCCTCTGACTGCTCTATGAGGTGCGGCGAGTGCCCCTCTGACGCCATTTCCATACGGCGAAAAAGTCCCTCGCATACTTCGTCTGCGCGCTCTGAGTATCCCCTCCCTGGCGCACCACTCCCCAATTCCTGGCGCAGAGGGCGCTGTGAAAGAGCTGAGTGCCCCCTCTCAGGATGCCCTGGATCTGTCGCAGGTCGCGTATGTCGTTCTGTAAGGCCGGTGCCCCGATGTCCTGCCGCGCTTCTATCGTTGCCACGTGCGGGTTTGGTGGCGTTGGGCCCCCGTGTCCTGAAGCTGGCTGTGGCCCCCGAAGAACGTAGGGTTCCCCGCTGCTGCTGCTGCTGCTCGCTCCTGCTTCCTTGAGTTTCGCATTTGGCAATGGACAAACATTCCACTGACTGGTTTTGTTGAATCCACCCTCCCCGAAGGTGCATCATCAGAATGCACAAGGAGCCCCGCCCTTGGCATCCATATACACATGACTTACACATGTATACACATCTGTATATGTAACATGCGCAGACACGCCTAGGACCTAGGCCGGTACCACAAGAAACTTACAACAACCCCTGTCAAGAAAATGACAACGGTCTCGATGAGGCTGTTTTCAGGATTGGGGTGTAGGGTTTAGGACTTTAGGGTTTCAGGGTTTAGGGCTTTAGGGTTTCAGGATTTAGGGTTTATCTTATGCTCAAGGAGTTATCACCCACTAGAGCACAGGCATTGTGGCTACTGATCACCCTAAAATCCTAAAGCCCGTGATTCAATCTTAAACACCAGATGTTGAAAAGGTGCCTGGCAAAAGCTCGAAGCCCAAACCCCTAAAGCCTAAATAAGCCCCAAACCGGAACACAGGCCCCCCCTGATTCATGAATCCCCTATCCTGGAGGGCCTTTACATGAGGATCCCCGTTACAATGCCTACTAATTCAGGGGTCGCCGAAAGGGAGCATCGATGGGCCCCACACCAGAAGCAAAGGCAGCCACTCCTCTACCGGATCCTCAGCCAAGCCTGGGTTTAGGGTCTAGGGGTTTACTCCTACTACACCTAGAAATACGATATTATTGCTCTTAGTATTGTTCTGTTACTCATCATCATTACTATTACCACTGCTAGAACTACTGCGACTTACTACTTTTACTCCTGCTTCGGGTCGAGGGGTTTCGGGTTCCAAAGGTGGGTTGAAGGATGCCTGCTGGGTGGTTCGACCCTAAACTCTAAACAGGTTACGGGAGGGGGCTCGAACATCCGGCTTCGAGCTTCCTATGTGTGGCCTGTCGAATCTACGGGTTCAATCCCAGATGTCTATGGTGCAGGGTGTCAAAACCAACTCGCAAGAGTTCTAGCCTTTGGGCCTGAACAGGGCTGGCTTATAGCAGGCTTAGGAATTCAAGCCCCTAAACCCTAAACCCTAAACCCTAAGTTTCAGGGGTGCAGGGTAAGGAGTTCAAGCTTTTAAGCCATCGGATCGGGGCCTTGATCTTTGTAGGGCTTTGGAGTTCTTTGTAGTTCTTATAAGGAACTTGGAGGGATGATATCGGTGATTGTTCAGGTATGCCCTAAACGGTTTAAGGTGTAGGAGTTAGGAACGGTTTAGGGTTTAGGGTTTTAGCAAAACCCCTACACCCTAAACCTTTTCGTGCTGTATGTTCGAGGACACTGTTGCACCCTTTTTTAGGGTTTAGGGTTAAGGGTTTGCTGGATGGCCTATTTGATGCCTAGGAGCCTATAGTATAAACTAAGAAGGAACTATACTATACAGTGTTAAAAGGGGCTGGGACCTGAAACCGTTAAAGCTGTGAGTGCTATGCTGCTATGTCGTCGACACAAGTAGTGGTAGTAGCAGTCGTCATAGAAGTAAGCTTTTGGACTCATGCTTAAAACCTACTTCCACGGAGCCATGCATGACGACCTCTTTGGCAGCTTCGGAAAGTAAGGGTCTTTCTGAGTGCCACCGCAGCCTCTGCCTCTGCCTGTTATCGCCGGAATACCCTGGACAAAAGGCTCCTGATGAGAGCTTCGAGGGACCATCAGACTATAAACCACCTGACATCAAACTTCACACAGGACGATGTGACCATGATGATGAATGATGATGACGATGATGCTGCAGAAGATGATGATGAAATTCCTGACGGTGTCCGCGAGGGTTGTGGGTTTACGGCCTATGACAGGCATCATGGGCTCCGCGATAAACCCTTATGCACGTCATAGAAAGCAGAGTTTATCCACTGGCAGGCCTTCCGAAGAAGTTGCATGGGCTACGTTCTGGAGCCCTCCACCCGAGGCAGATCTAGAACCGGGTTGGGGCTCAACGCTTAGACCCGCATATACCCAAATTGCCTGAACCCTTTATCCTGAAGCTCTGAACCCCCTCCTCCCCGAACTCCAGTCTCTATGAAAAAAAAAACTTTAAACCCTAAACCCCGAAACCCCAAACCGATACTAAGCCCGACAGCCCGCAACACCGGGGCTCCTTACAGGAAGGATCTTGGCAGGAGTCCTGCGCATGTTGGCAGGGGCGGTGTGGCCATGGGTCGACTGGGGTATAAAGTTTGGGGTTTAGGGTTTAGGTATCGCCGCTGAACCCTGCGCGCTGGCAAAAACCGTATGTCCTGCATACCCTAAACCCGGAAACCCTAAACCCTAAACCCCAAAGAATAAGTCTTCAGGATCAGCCCCTGGAGCAAAGCTGGCAAAGCAGCGTCAGCTGTTGTGTTTCTTTCCGTCTGGGTTTAGTGGTGAAGGTTTACGGGTTTACACATTTATCGGATTATGGATTTCTGGGTTTGGGTAAAGGATGTACACATTCATCGGATTATGAATTTCTGGGTTTGGGACATTTGGGATTTCAATCTAACGTTGCAGGGTGGTCCATGGCCAGTTGCCCACAAGCCCGACATTTCAACCTAACATACGAGCCGGAACGCATGTTCAACGGTCCTTTCATTCTCTATTAAGCCATCGTCTGTAGCAGAGAACTCAACCCTGAACCCCTAAACCCTAAACCCCTAAACCCTAAACCCTAAACGCTAAACCCTAAACCCTAAACCCTAAAGGTTTAAGGTTAAGGGTCCCTAAACCCTGACAGCCCCGAGACTCAAGGTACCTGCGCCGAGAATCCTACACAAACTGAGGACCGTCCTCTTGCTGAACACGACGGCGCTTCCCGCTGGGTTCGCCTGTGCCACCGCTAGAGTATGCTTAATGTGTGGGGCCTCGAATAAAGTTAGACCAGAGTTTGGTAGCTTGGGGTTTCGAGTTTATGGTGTACTTGTTACTTGGAAATGTAAAAACATAGCGTTGCTTCGCGTAGGCCTCTCTCTTGCACCTGAAACCCCATGCAAAGCCGAAACTCTGTTGAATCCTCAAGACCGAGATCGAAAAGCATGAGGGCCAGCCGGAGTTATGAACATGGTTCGCTCGGGTGGTCCCCCGAAGCCTAGACCACGCTACCTCAACACAAGGGCAGCAAGGAATTCAATGATACAGGGACCATAAGGTGAAATCATTGTGAATTGTCCAGGAGCATTAATAATCAGAACAGCCTTATGGGGTACATCATGCTAAAACAAAAATTGAGAAACCTTGGCAGTCATTTAGGCTACATACAGCCAGAACATTGCCACTTCAGGATCTCAAGTGCCGGTAGGTTTCACCAAACAACTTTTGGGCATGCTTATTTGTGCCGAAACCCCTCTCTACCGGATCTGCATAATGAAGACCTTGCAACGGCCCTATCATCACCAATACAACAGTACGACACCCTTGCGGCGGTTCTGTTTCGAAACCTCTTGGAATTGAAGCAGGGTGATTCTGTAAGGACGGTATTTTGCACAAGCCTGGGCCCTAAACGATAAGGACGGGTACATGCTCCCTGTAATGGACACTGCGTTACTTCCCCAATAAGCCACGGAAATGAACGGTGAAAATTTCAGATTACTACTAAATTATAGGAGCCCAAAAAATTCAAAGGTTGGGAACTGGGGAACTAAGCTGCAGGGGTTTTGTCCTTTGGCAGAATGACAGCCTTCCACTTCGCTGGAAGCCGGCTCCTGCCAGAGGGGTGTGGGTTCAGGGTTAGGGTTCAGGCTTTAGGGTTAAGGGTTTATGTCAGGCACTTAATGCAAACGGCTGAAGCTGGATATCGAGTCACAAATTCAAGATTCGGGGACTTCCAAAAAAGCCGATCCCTCTCTCGGAGGTGATTGCAGACTTAGAAGCCAAAAGCGCAAACATCGAAACCCTTCGCTAAACCCTAAACCCCAACTACACCCTAAACCCTATACTTTAACTGAGCCCTAAATCCTAACTAAACCCCAAACACTATGTAGCCCTAAACCCCGAACTCTAAATCCTAAACCCCAAGCCCGACCTGCGCGTGCTTGCTTTCACCAACAAGTCGCAGGCCCGAACAATAGGAACGGTTCAGTTTAAGGCTCATGATCTAGAGGTTAGGATTTGGGGTTTCGGGTTTAGGGTTTTAGGGTTTAGGGTTGGGTTTCGGCTTCAGGGTTTAGGGCCACAAGGGGTTAAATCGCAAAAACTCTTGCTAGATAGCTCTGACGTCACTTGTGTCCCTGTCGGGGGATGCGGAAGGTCCTTTTTAAACCCTAAACCCTAAACCCTGAACCGGAAGGTCTTGCTTGGAGACTGTGCAGATCGAGACCCCGGTACCATCCACGAAGCCCAAGACACCGCAACTAACTGCCACAGAAGGCCTGTCGGAGCCACGGTTTAAGGTTTAGGGTTTAGGGTTTAGGGTTTAGGGCACAGAAGGCCTGTCCCTGACTCCAGTGCGATTCCAAGCGACTTACCCGAATATTTCGAACGAGTTGAACATCGATGCTGACCCCATCCTTCTAAATCCGGGAGGAATTTCAGGAGATGGCTTCAGCGTCCTGTGTTCCGAAATACTCCTTCTAAACGCAGTGGAGTTCCTCTTCGAAGGGAGCATGTTCCAACCCCGAGGCTTCGATGTATATTATCTTAGGTTGTTTCTGCTATGATACTAAGATGTATGGACTGGCTATGCTTTCTTATGATGTTGTGATACTAAACTTATAAACTGGTGAAGTGTAGTCTAGTCTAGTATGGTCCAGTATAGCCCCGTACAGTGTAGTAAAGCCTAGTATAGCCCAGCCTAGCGCAGCATGGCATAGTCTAGCATAGTGTAAGTACAGCATAGTATCGTGCCGTACCGCATAGTGTAGCTTAGTGCATGATAGTATAGTACAGTACAGTTAGATATATAGTATAGCATAGCGCAAAAACGTAGTTCATGTCAAGCGCATATCTTTCTCAGCATAGGCATTTGCTCGGCCACCTGTCGCAAAAGACTAGTGGCACAGGGAATCATTGAAGGCTCAACCACTCGAATAGTTCTTTTTTCGTATGAGGCACAACCCTAGACCCGTAGACCTAACCAGCCTTAAAATTCGAGCTGCAGGGATCCCTGTGAAATTTTGGGGCTCTGGATCATCTTCAAAAGACGGGTGTAGGGTCTGTATATGGTTGACGAGTATGCTGTAGTCGAGAGGGTTGCATCGACCCACCCGAACTCAAAAAACCAAGGTCACGCCCCAATAAACTCAACCCTTGACCCCAATTGAAGACCTTCCCTTCCGCTGTGCCGAGGCTGTACATTCACAGGTGGCCTCGTGGCTGTGGCCGTGGCACCTTGAAAACCCTGTCTGCCAGGCCACTTTACACATGGGCTTTGGTTTAGGGTTTCTGTACGGGGGTCCAGGCTTCCTACGCGTCTTTTTCAAGAAGGGACGGGCGGGACAACACTTGAGTGAATGCACGGAGATCCGGAAACCGCCTTATGAACAACTACAGCAGTCAAGCACCCAACTACCCATAGGCCCCAAAGTAGTTCCTCTTTGGGATTTATATATATATATATATATATATATTATGTATTTATTTATTTATTTATTTATTTGTAGAACCCTATAAGGTAACCCCAAAAAGGAACTACGATGGGGCCTATGGGTAGATGATTGTCTACTCGCCCTTACAGTTGCCGACCGTCTAGGCTGCAAAACAGCCTGAATGCTGGAAACTTCATCTGTGCAGGATCGCAATGACCCTAAACCCTAAACCCTAAACCCTAAACCCTAAACCCTAAACCCTAAACCCTAAACCCTAAACCCTAATGACAATCCTAAATCTCCAAACCCTCAACCCAAAACCTCGAAATCTCCAAACTCTAAACCCTAAACCCTAGACCCCAACTCCCTAAAACACCTAAACTCCTACATCCCCGAACCAGAAGAGCTGATCCTCCCCTCAAGTCTGTCTTCTGAACAGAAAGGTCCCCCAAAACTCTGAAACGGTTTAGGGGTTTAGGGGTTTAGGGGTTTAGGGTTTAGGGTTTAGGGGTTTAGGGGTTTAGGGGTTTAGGGGTTTAGGGTTTAGGGTAGAGGGCCTGACCCTTAAACTCCCGTAAAAACCAAATGGCAACCCAGGTAGCACCCTCACAGTGATCCTTATAGTGCCGTAACCCGGTGCGTAACCCTGGTTGATCCCTTCTAAGTGGATTTTTCCTGGTCCTGAAGCAAGCAGTAGGAAATGTATAAACCTTTATTTCATAACGGTTCCTTTTTTAAGGAATAGGCCCTTTAAGAAGTACTCAAGGATTCATAAGGACCCTTCGGTGGGTTAAGGGAGAGGGGTGTAGGGAATAGGGACCTGATAAGGGGCCCAACCAGGCCTATTCACGAAGAAGGGTTTAGGGTTTAGGGTTTAGGGGCAGTCCCCTAGCCCCCCCGCGCCCCCTTATCCCCCTCATAGTCCCATGAAGAATGGTCCTTCCCAAACCCTAAACCCTTAAAACCTAAACCCCTAAAACCTAAACCTTAAACACTAAACCCCTAAATCCTTGAAGCCCTGAACCCTAAACCCCTAAAGGCCCTAAAACCTAAAGCCCTGAGCCTTAAACCTCCAGTTCCAAGGGCTGTCAGGCCCACGGCCATCGGGAAGCATTCTTCCCGTCCGCCTCACTTTCGCTGGAGCTGGCAGACACCTGCACCCCGAAACCCCAAACCCAAAGGCATAAACTCAGGGTTTAGGGTTTAGGGTTTAGGGTTTAGGGTTCAAAACCCCAAACCCGAAACCTTGAACCTTAAACACTAAACCCTAACCCTAAACCCTAAACCCTGAACTCTAACCCTAAACCCGTCTGTCCGGGTTTGAGGTTCAGGGTCAACCCTAAACCCTAGACCTAAACCCTGATGCTCTAGAGAGTCTTGGACCTCGAAAGCAGAGAACACTGAACGCTGGACTTCGGATGTCAAGGTCAAAAGGCATACCCTGAACTCTAAACCCCAAACCCTGAACGATCGATGTCATGTGTCATCATTTGTGCAGATTGTCTGACAAATGACGGTTCCGTATATGGACCTCTCCAATGCATGGTCAATCTCGTAAAGGTATAATTTCTCATGTCGTCCGACATCACAGCCCCGCAAATCCAAGGCTGCCTGTACCCTCGCCTGG